CACCACCCGCACCACCACCAACATCACCACAGTCGCCGTATGTAATCGTTCAGCCGAGCAATAACCAAAAAGATTCATTTTACTTCCTTATCGGCCGATTTTAGTTATTATTCGTAGCAACAGATAACGAAAAATTGGATACGTATCTGCTAAATAGTATCAATGCTTAGCGCTTATTTTATTCCACCACTAAGGTTTCACTCATAGAAATGGGTGAGACTAAGTGTCAGAACATAGATGCACATTTGTGTCATCCAGGCCCAGTTTAACCCGGCAAAAGAGTGAATCAGAGCTACGGCCGCTCTCTGTTCATGCTCTGGGACATTAAGTGTGTCATAACATGGACAATGTGACCCATCCATTTTCTGAGTGAATTAGTCTCCAGCGGTCGTTGCAATCAAGCAGCTACTGCATTCTGGTGAGCAGACAAACCGGCTTAAAATATGAGCCGCAAGATCCCAGCGATGAATACTGTGCCTTCCGGACTGTCAGGAAGCCAGTCTGCCGCCGCTACGCTGCCATGAAGCCAGTCTGCCGCCGCTACGCTGCCATGAAGCCAGTCTGCCGCCGCTACGCTGCCATGAAGCCAGTCTACCGCCGCTACGCTGCCATGAAGCCAGTCTGCCGCAGCTACGCCAGTCTGCCGCCGCTAGTTCGCGTGTCCGCCCAACAGAACCCAGGCTGTGGCTGCAGAACAAAGCTCTGACGCGAGTAATGTGTCTGATTTATCAATTAATTAGCTCGAGGCAAAACGCCACGCTCTTCCTGGCCATGAGAAGCGCCAAGCGTGTTGCTAGCAGCCTTCACTACGTATCCTTGACTAAGCTTTTTATTTTTCTTCTCTGTATTCTTATAAAGCAGAAGTTAATTGTCTGTATTTATGACTTGTATTGACTGGGAAATTTTTGTTTTATTCGTGCTCAAGTAGCGTTGACTGGCCCAAGGTCAGTCGGTGATGCTATGCTATAGGTATTAAGTTTGTTAACTTGGTCTGATTTTATGATAGCGAGATCTCGTCAAAAAGATCGGAAAAAATGCCAAAAAAAATGTTAGGGAAGTTCTAGTCATTTTTTCGCAACCGAGCACACTTTTGAATATATGATGAAGGTTACTGAGACTTTTGTGGTTTTGTTGCTACTCTGTTATCCGCAGTTATCTGTGTCTGGATCTTGCATAGGAATTAAAATGACTATATTTTTGAAAAATTATGTTTTTATATTATGTAAAAACTGACGTTAGGATTGACAATCAAGTAAGTGATTGTGCACAACTGGCTTTAGTCGGAATAATCAAGTAATTGGTTATTAACGCTGATTTAAATGGAACTAGTAAAGTCATTTTATGAACAATTGATGTCAGTCGCGATAATCAAATGATTAATTATTATCGTATAACACGACCATCAAAGAGCCATGGATAATCTGCCTTTGTATTAATCAGATTTACCATTAAAAACGAGTCAAATGATGAGACGAAATTGTGCACAGCAAATATTAGACGAAGTTGTAAGGATATTTCAAAGGAGGAAAAACGCAGCAATAATATTCTTACAAGTTACAAACATCCAAAGAATACCTATTGCAATATTATGTGCAATGAGTGTCTGAAAAGGGCAACTAAGCATTCTCCAATAGCTACTTTGTAGTTAATTCGACAGTCAACTCTGCAGCCATTACTACTGTACAGCAAACTCTGCAGCCAACACTGCCGCTAACTCAGCCACCAACTCTGCAGTCACATCTGCATTCAACTATTCAGTTCAGCTCTATAACAGCTGTGCCATCAACTCTGCAGCCGAACCTACCGCCAACTTTGCAATTAACTCTGCAGCTAAGAATTAGAAAACATAACTAACTGCTGGCCGGATGCAAAATTTGCTCGTCGAAAACACACTTTCACTAATAAAATTGATAGATTCAATCATCACACGTTATTCAAAAATAAAGTATTCCATACACATGTTAGTTTCCAAAGCAGACACAAAAATGTCTGAGTTGAACACAAAATCTACAGCGTAACTGAGTTTTGTCGTAATAAAGAACAAGTGTGTTACGTCACAGCAAGATGTTACCTAGCCCGGCTGCTGCATGTCTTGCGGAGTTGTGGTCTTACACTCTTGCTAGTCTCATCGTAGTAGCATCAGTAATCGCAAGTATGAACGAGCCTGACAGTTCTATGATGTAAGTGCAACGTTCCCTACCTCTCCAAATCTTAGTTGTTCGCTATTAATATTGCTTCTTTTACGAGCTATGATGTATGGTAGATTGGTAGGGTAGCTGTTGTATTGTTCCGCGTTTCGTTTATAAGTATTTTGCCTTTGTCGTTATTCCTCCCGGTAACCGGGCGTATGTTGAGTAAAGCATGATCTTCGATACTTCTTCACTTGCTACAATAAAGTTTCTAACTTCAAAACTGTCCAACGTTTTCAAAGTTACCTGTATAAGCCTAGAAAACACGATTTTTGTGAAAACTCTGCTATCCAATCAAGGAAATCATCGGCGTTGCCGAAAAATGAATGCACAACCTGGTAATCTATTTGAAAATCTATAGTTTGAAATGTAAATTCACGCAAGCGATTTGATGCAAAGGCATAAATGTAAATAACTATCTAGTATGCACTACTTTTTATTGTTCATTTACAATTTACATAACCTAATCATGATATTGCAAACAAAAGCTGCTGCAATTCTAGACGTTTAAAAAATTAATGAATCGCAGGCACTGAAAAAACTGGATAGTTAGTACGATAGTGGGCACGTACCGTAGTTCGAGTTGAGATACCGGTATCTTAGGAGTTAGGTTTCTTTAATTTTTGTTTGCTTTTATCCCAACTACCAATTAATGTCTGTAATTTGTATGTAGCAGAAATATGAACAACAAATTTACTTTGATTCTTCAAAATTACCCTTCTTGAAAATATCACGATTAATCAAATCGTCATAATCACTTGCGTAATTAGAATACATAACATAACTTCACATTAAAATTGGGAAGTTGCACAAACCTACTTAACCTAGTAATAGTATGACGTCTTTGACGGTCTTTCGTGAAAGAATAACCTTTATTCGGCATCTTACCTTTTGCCATTCCTTGAGCATCGACTTGGCTTCATCGATATCAGAATCCATTTTATATTATTACTAACTACAAAGTACTTTCATTTTCGTTGTTTTGCCACGTTTTGTCGTAACTTCTACTGTCACCCGCCTGATTGACACTGACGTGACGAGTATTCAACTACCGGTACCGGTAGTAGCGGTAAACTTTTGTGGAAGAGTTGAAAATGTCAAGTTGTCAACATGTTGAATCGAAAATTAAAAAATATTCTACTTGACGCAGTAATGAATGCACATGTTTGTTGCTTTATAATAAATACAAATAAGTTAGTTAGACCCGTAATTTCTTCTTTTCGGGTTTATTTCGCACGTACTTGTAATGGCTTATATCATAGAATATTCGATATCAACTTAATATGAAACACTCCGCTGTTTTGATGTAAACAATCGCTTGGTGGCCCTGCCGCCGTCGCCGTGTGCGCAAACTCTTTCCACTTCTGTAGTCTGTACGGCTGTACCTGGGCAACCTGGCTGGTCTAGACTCTAGCCTATAGTATAGGTTCCTGATGCTCTTCAATTATTTAAATGCAACGCTCAGGTGTTAGGCAGGTTTACTTTAACAAACAGGTAAACCGGTGATATGGTTATCTTCATTGCATTTTTCAGTGAGAGTTGTGAGACAATTAAATTAATGCATTCATTTCTAAGATAGCCTATGTCTAAATTCTTTGAGAGTCAATATTTCACAAAGAAACATAATATAAATTGGATGATAAATGTACAATTTCTTCATTGTATATTGATTTACTTTTCTTATCTGTTAATCATAATTTTCAGTGACTTGAGTTAGGCTATAACCTGCTAAATTTATCAGTATTCATATCAGAGTTGCGAGATTTTGATTTTAAACAGAATAGTCAATAGAGAATACTTTATACTTTACCTTGGAGGCTTGGACTAGAAAATATCTCTGCACAATTGCTCCTCATTTTGACATATGTTACGAGGTGTGATTGAATTATTTCATAAGGTCTTAGATGCGCTCATTGTGCTGCAGTGCACAAAATTTTAAGCCGTGAATCCTATCCAGAAGAGGAAGACTACAATTTTTTCCAAGCTGAGATTTACCTGCTTGCTGCTGCCACGATTGAAATTTTCCTACTTGTTTCTGAAATCTCATGGCTCCAACCATGAACCATCCAACGTGATGAATTTTTAATACATTTGGAATTTGGCAGCCCAATCCTGCAATTTTGTTAACAATCAGATTATTATCAGATAGGAGGTAATTCATCTGGCAGAAATCTTGTGGTTCCAGAAAGTTAGTACTTGCTATGTCATGCAGCCCTGAGCCCTAAAGGTAGATGTTTTCCACTCTTGGCTGCTGCTAAATTTTCTAGATATTATGGTCACATTTCTTACCATAACTCGAAGAAGAATGAGGAAAATTCAATTGCATATTATGCCTATAGACATAGTTACGTATTATGAAGGATACTGTAATATTGTTGTGATCTCAAATCTGTAATAATTGCTAGAATTTCCAAATTCATGAGCAGAAGATCTGAATTTCCTATGAAAAGCACTTGTTATGTCATTAATGTCAAATTTCCTAGTTTGTATGTAGATAGCTGCAAGTGCAACAGGTATTGAAATGACTGTGACTGAGACAGGCTCAATGGCAGGTGGCACTTGGCAGCCACAGGCCCACATGGGCTGTGACAAAGGCAAACTAGCCCATAGTAGTACTGTTAGTACATAACATTCAAACATGTCAATGCAAAATAAAATTAAGCAAATAAATTTATTGAGGCCAGTAAGTTTTAAAAGCTAGTTGCTATAAGCACCTCTTCTGCTGAATTTCTAACTTGTACAGTTATGTAAGTTACCCACTGAAGTCACTTTCTGTCAGCATTTTTGGTTTAGAAAAAGATTTTTTTTCAGGTGGAGCATGGAGTTGAAAGCAGCTCAGGAAAGCTTCATGAATATATTCCAACAAATGCAGCAGCCAGAAACTCAGAAGGCATTTCTATTATGGATAGATGCAACATTTATTAGGCCAGGTGAGTCTACCTATGTGCAAAGTATATTTGTGTGTTTAGATGTGTGATGTGCTGTTCATGTCCTAAGTGAATGTAAATGATTTGGTAAGGTTCAAGAATGAAATGACATGGTCTTGGTGTTGAGTTTTGTAGAAATTATGTTGGTCATTGATATCTTAATTGCTTAATAATATCTTAATTTTTCAATTGGAACAGTTCTGCAATTTTTTTCAAGTATTATAAATACTGGTTCGTTTCAAAGTATTTAGCCATAAAGCTGCAATTTGTAATATTGGATTTTATTGTAAAGAAAGGTAATTTTATTTGGCTGGCAGTGAAATTTTTTTAGGAAGATTATCATACTAATGTATTACCTATGTGAAGCTCAATTATTTGTCAGAATACTTGATGTGTATGTGGTTTGGAGCAAAATTGTATACGTTATTGTTTAATTGTTTAACTGAATACTTTGTGGTATTCCAGGTGGAGGCGGTAGTGGTGCAGTGAGCAGCAGCAACATGGTGTGTAACAATGGCCCTAGCAATGGCAACATCACAGGCACAGCATGTAATAGTGGTGGCAGTGATGGTGGCAGCAGCAATAGCAGCACTACAGACTATGCAGCTGACAGTAAACTCCGCAGAATAGCTGATGATGTCAGAGAAATGATGCCTCTGAATGCCATACTTCCCACTGAACAGATCACATTTCCCAGTGTGGGAGAGGTTGGTATTTTGCCTATTTATTATGCAATTCATTTCCTGTATCTGAGATGCACTATTATGTTTTCTGAGTTGCAACATAGCTTCACACTGCATCATGTCAATTGTTGCTATAAATACCTATCTGATACTATAAATCTCTGACACCATACTATTAATTGAAAAGCTGTCTAAAACTTTTTAAATTAATTAAATATAGGTTCATAATACTAGCAACATAACCTCTATTTATGCCTGCACTGATTGAAAACTTAGTCCTAAGTAATTTTAACTATGCAATGTGTCCTCATATTTTTATGATAATGAAGATTTTCACGAAAAAATTTTAATTCGTACAGAATTTGTTCTCATAATTTGAAAATATTGAAGATGTTCAAGTATTTTTTCCCCGACAGAATGCGGACTGCGACCCATCACACACATTGCATGTTGATGCATTCTTGTATGATGAGGACCTTGTGGACGAACTCTGTGACACGGGCGAGCTGGGCCGCAACTACTGCCTCGACTGCTCCTCCCACAACACACAGCCTATCAGTGAGTCATGTGGCCAATTAGTGAGTTATACTTATACAGTTAGTGGGCCATTTAATCATTCAGTCAACTTTATAGTCCATCAGCAAGTCATGTGGATAATTGGTGATTCGTGTGATGAAACAGTCAGGTAAAGTCTCAGAGGTTCTTGAAGACAAGTAATGTACAAATCACTCGGTTAATCAAGGAAGCTATAATACAATTGCTTTGCCCTGCAATTGGTTGGTCAAAATCGAGACTTAGCTTCGTATCGCCACCAATGTCATGACGAACTTCATGCTGACAACTGCTTCTTTCTCCCTTATCTTTGTCAACATTTGCTAGGGTATGTAATGTATACGTGTATTAATATACGGTATGGTATGCTAAGTGCGTTAGAATGTGGAATGGTAAGCTATTTTTATTAATGTATGGTATGATATTTATGGCTAGGTACGTGTAGGTATATAGGTATGTAATAGATGGTAACAAATTACATAGGTATGGTATTATGTGTACGATATGAATGGTAAACTACGTACATGTTTTAATGTATTGTATGATAAGTAAAATATAATAACAACTTGTATGTATATGTATAATAATGTCTCCCATAACAGCATACGTGAGTCACTCAGCATCAAGAGAGCGGCTGGCTTACGTGTTCAGGGCACTGCTGCCTCCCGTGCCTGAGGACGCCGTCATTGTTGACGTTGGCTCCAGGCTGGGTGCCGTGCTTTATGGGGTGGGTCAACCTCACCCATTGTTTATTTAATTATATTGTGGTGCCCTCGGGCTGGGTGCTGTGCTTTATGGAGTGGGTCAACCTCGCCCATTGTTTATTCAATCAAATTGTGTTGCCCTATGGCTGTGTGCCGTGCTTTATGGGGTGGGTCAACCTGACCCATTGTTCATTTAATCATATTGTGTTGCCCTATGGCTGTGTGCCGTGCTTTATGGGGTGGGTCAACCTGACCCATTGTTCATTTAATCATATTGTGGTGCCCTATGGCTTAATTCAGTGTTGACCTGGCTGGGTGCCGTGCTTAATGGGTGGGTCAACCTCACCCATTCATTCGACCATATTGTGGTGCCTATGGCTTAATGCGTGAAATTATTCATGTTGCTGTCATCATCACCACTCAGACTTAATGGTGATTCGTGTAGAAAGACTTTTAATTTTTCTTTAACATACATCATGTCTTGCTGATGATATCAAACTGGAATGAAGTTGTAACTTTAATCGGAAAGGCAAAGGTGATCTATAAAGATTCCATTGTTATAAATATATAGGAAGGCTACAGGGGGCTCTTCCTATATGTATACGAAGAGCCCCCTGCTGCAGACATTGAAAAATATATTATAGAAGTACCGGTATATGGTAACAAATAATGACAATCCATCCACTTGAATGACTTCATAATTATATTGGCGTTACAAAACTTATCAATACTGTGCTTCATCTATATTATATAAATATTCCATAATGTATATGTTCAAATAAGTCAGGCTTTTGGTAAAGAAGTAAGAAAATGGACTAAAATAATACACTATATTTCCAATTTAATGAGTAGAATCAATATTTTATTGAGCGAGATAAAGATCCGGATAAAATCATTCATTAATAGATTATAATGAGTAATATATTGAGCAGGCTTACGTGTATACCAAGTGCCGGAGGATCATAGGTGTCGAATTGAACGAGGATCTGTGCCAGCTGCAGAGAACTATTGTCACCAAGTATAACTTCCAGGTACGTTTTTAATGATATTCCTACCTGGAAAACACCATTTTAATGATATTCCTACCTGAACAGCATCTCTTTAATGATATTCCTACCTGAACAGCGTCTCTTTAATGATATTCCTACCCGAAAAGCCACATTTTAATGTTATTCCTACCTGAACAGCATCTCTTTAAGGATACCTATTCCTAACTGAACAGCATCTTCTTGGTGATGTCCCTACCTTAACAGGATTTCTTAAAATTAAACGAATCCATACCTGAACAGTATCTCTTTAATGTTATTTCTACCTGACCAGCATCTCATACCTATATCGTATGTACATGACCAGCAGCAGTAGTAACGTAGGTAGGTACCGTATCTCTTCTGCATAACCTTCCTACCACTCGGTATAAATTCTTTCAGGTGTTCAAATTTATTTTATCATGAACCTTTCGTTGTGAAGTTGCCAGTTTTTCAATTATATTCATGGAGGACTAAATTTTCTTGCATCTCATCGCCGTTGCTATTTACACTTTTTATAGCTCATGCTGGAGAATTTGTTATCTTCTGAGTAGGTGTTCAAGTAGGTTCAGTACCGGTAACGTAAATATAACTGTGGTAGTCGGTCACTGAGCAACTTAGAATTGAGAAGTATGCTTTTGTACAGGATCGAATAAGTGTGGTGTCGGGTGATGTTCAGCTCCACGGCACCCTGATGAACAGCGCCGATGTCGTCGTCATGAACAACGTCTTCGAGTTCTTCATGGCGGCTGAAGTGCAGCTCCAGATCTGGAATTTCCTGAGGGCGTCCATCAAGCGAGGGGCCCTGCTAGTCACCATCCCCGCCCTCACAGACACGCTGCAGCATTTTGATGTATGATGAATTTTGTTGATTTTCCTAATTTTGATGTAGTATGATGCATTTTGATGACGCTAAATGTATGATGCGTTTGATGATTTTGAATGTATGATGCATTTGATGTACTGAATTTTGATGTACGATGTGTCTCCAGTCTCCACCTGTTATGCATAATTCATTACCTTTATCTTCAGTCTGTTAAATGGCGCCTGTTTTGCCTAAGTACTTTTATTTTTAGTTTGTTAAATGAAAAGTTTACCAAGAATTCAAAAGCAGACTAAACGCAAGATATGGTGAATTTATTCGGCGTTTTTCTTATTTTTTTCTTTTAAATTCTTGATGCGGTTTGTCTATTATATTGAAATTGTATCTGGTGTGACTGCATCATTCTCATATCCACGTACGCACTTGTGAGTTTTGCATCATTCACACAAACGCTTCTTTGTTTTCACACTCACCCACACAGACACACACAAACACAAAGTTTCTCACTATCACAAAGTTTCTCACTATCACAAAGTTTCTCACTATCACAAAATTTCTCACTATCACAAAGTTTCTCACTATCACAAAGTTTCTCACACTATTACTAAAGTTTATCAGTTTCTCACTATCTCACGCTATATTCCGCACTATCGTTCAATTGATGCAGCCAAGTGTTTGTTGGTATAAGATGGCAGAATCTCATCATTTATACAAGTGTGATCAGTTACCAGAGAATTGGATGGAAATTATCAAACAATTCTTCAGATGACATTGGTAGATTAAAAGGAAGGTTTCATAAAGCGAATATATTAACAACGTTATTATACATATGTATATTTCATAAAGCGAATATATTAAGGATGTTGATTCATGTTGATGTGCAGGTTGGGTTCAGGGTGCAGGACTGGGTGCGTGAGGTGCCACCCCACGACCCTAACGTCACCGCGCCCTTTGACTTCCAGTCAGAGACTTCCGAGGTCAAGCTCTACCAGGTCATCTAGCTGCTCTACATCTGCTCTACCAAGTCATCTAGCTCCCCTACCTCTGCTCTACCAGTTAGCCCATCTCCCCCAGCTCTACTCTACCAGTTGGCCTAGCTCCTCTACTCGTCTGTTCCACCAGTTGCTCTACTTTCGCCACTTGCTGTTTCTGCCAAATCCTCTTCGTTCACTTATCCTGCTCTACCATTCTTCTAGCTTTCCTCTATTACTATTCTATCTTTACCTTACCAAGCAATTCAAAAATAATCATCAATTTCGCACTACCTTGACTTCTCTTCTTCACCAACCAATCTTCTTACGTTTGCTCTTGCATGAAGCGGTCTTATCGCACACCGTAAGCCTTATACCTGGAGTCGCCACTCGCTGAAAGATTTTATTGCCGTCTGACCAATGCCAGTTTTTCGCTTTATCACAAATTCTACGGTCCGACTTTGGGACTTTGAATTCCTACAATGTGGAGTCTTCTTAGGTGTGAGGACTTGACTTCATTCCTTAACTCAACGCTAGAGAGGTTTGTTACATTGTCTTATATACTCAGCCGTGACTAAGTTGAGTTACTTGTGAGTTTGTGGAGACCTATGAGTAGCTTGTGTGTGTATATATACATCAGTGTGATAACTGAGCAGGAACCCTGTTACTGTTTTTGATTGTATTTGGATTCATTGGAAACTCCTGCAAATTTTGGTGTCACTTCCTCTTCTTGCTTGTGACTTCAGTAGCAGTTATAGGTTATATTGTTGAGCTTGTCTGTCGGAAAATTTCCTCTGTGAGAGAACCTCCATTCAGAATGTATCGGCAGTGCTTACTTTACTCGCCTATTGCTAGGATAATTTATAAATTAAGCAGGATCCTCAACAAACATTCTCGAAAATTATTAATCGATATAGATTAAGTGACTTCGTTAATCGACTCTACTGATTCACGACGGCCTGACTCAGTGTGGTAGATAAGGAGTGTTTTGATATAGGTACATTGTTTAATATACAAGACTCAATTGAACGCGAGTGGGGCTCTTAGTATACTTAGTTAAATGTATTAATGATCATACTAAATATATCAGGTCTTGCTCTGCATAGTTACAAATCCCCGAACACTCGTTTGGAAGCCTAATCATGCTCTGTGGAATGTGAATGTTAGAGTTTATTCCTGCTTGGCCTTATTCTTAACTGTTAGCTTTTATTAGACTTGACTCGCGACGGCTGAATTTATTAACTGTAAACCAGTTTATGGAAGACTGCCATAAATGGCATCTTGCATCCTTGTTTATATGGTGAACTTTTGAAGTATTTTAAGATGTAATGATTACCATGCAGTGCCTACTTTGTGTATACTCGATAAATAAGTACGTGTTTGTTTTCTACTACATTTACACGTAATTCTTTGTATATTCTATTTTAGCATCAAATGCCATCAATCAAATATTGTCTATCCTAGGCGACTTACTGTATAATCACTTGTCTTGAGATCCCTCGGGTAACACGTATCAAAACTATCAAGATACCATACAAGACCATGCTGATGCACCACCCTAGACTGCTACCAAGCGCTGCCCATCAGCAGTACCGAAAAATGAACAGTTTTGCAGGGCTTGAGCCCATGGCTAGCTCTTGGATTATTGTAATAGTGACGTTATAAATCTAACCAAATGTTAATGTTGGCAACATGTGCGGAAAAAGCATCTTGCTTAGTGTGGAATGTTAAATTAGGTGACAGGATTATGGTGCTATTTTAAACTGGGTGAATGACAAAATTGTATGTTTTAATAGGATAACATGATTGTTGTGGCATATTTGAATTGGATAACATGATTGTTGTGGCATGTTTTAATTGGAAAACAAGATTGTTGTGGCATATTTGAATTGGATAACAAGATTGTTATGGCATATTAAGTTAAGCAAAGAGGGTAGGAAGTTTGGGAGCCGCTGTCCAGTTCAAGATCGAGGATGAACACGAGTTTGCTTCAGTTATTTTGCCACCTCTATGATTAATATTTGTATATTTGCCGTTGATTTTTGTACGTACTCCTGTAAATATTTGAGTGTGATAATTTTCTCATGTGTAAGACGTAAATAAGTTTTTTTTCCGTGTCTAATCCCATTGACGGATTACTTTGTTCCTTGTTATATTACCTGGGTTACAGTTTCGTCCCTACAGAAATTCATGATCAAACAGAACTGCGGACATTTTTCATCAATTTATTGGGGTTACTTTTTATTAGTTACATCTTTTGTATTGATGTCGACAGGTGGGAAAATTTTCTGCTACGTTGTGTTGTCAGGTGAAATGACGGAATGTTCGTGCTGCTTCACGTGTTCGTGCTGCTTCACGTGTTCGTGCTGCTTCACGTGTTCAGGAACATTTTCCTCTTAACTTCTGTTGCTGCAACTCACGTAAATCAAGTGACCTTCCTTGAACAGTTCATTACCCTTCTATTTTCATTGTATTTATGCTAACCTTATTCAATTTGTAGAAAAATTGAGTTTTAGTATAAACATACGTCTTGAAAGGAAGACACCTAGTAAGAAAAGGGAAGCTGGATTACTAATTGAAAAAAATTTGCTAATATTAAGAGGGGAAATGAAATAAAATTCTTGTTGAATATACCTCAAATGAATACAAAGAATTAGTCCTCAAGCAATCGATGCTCGCCTGAGTACACGTAACGGCCCTAGTACACGTAGCTGCCTAAGTACGCGTAGCGGCAAATTTCTCGTCTATGATAGGTGGGATTTGACTTGAAATGCCGTCTGTGATTGGCTGCCGGAGATATGAAATCTTGACTAATTTCGACAGTACGACCCCTGAGGCTTGAGATACAGTCCACCATTCCACTTGAATTATTAAATGTTAGTCAAACAGGACGTCCAAATCCAGTGAATGCAATGGAATTTCGCGGATATTATTGCACCGTTAACAATTAATGGAAAATAAGCTTATATCCTATATATATTCACGTCGTCGTCAGAAAATTATGCTAGACTGGCGTCCGGGAGACAGGAGTGCACACGAAAAAAATGTATGGGTCATATTTACATATATTTCCACACCCCCCACCGTACCACCGACACGCCGCGGTCGAACTGGGTCAGGATATCCCACACAAACCCAAAAAGTGCATCACAATTTGGACAGTTTCGTTATTTCTCAGGAAAAAACTATAATTGATTGTAAAAAAAGTTTTCATTTAACAGATTATTTTATTGAACAATAAGTGGAAGCAGCAGCAACTCCTACATTCAGAAAAGGAATTGGTTATAATCTCCAAATAGTGACACACTCTCTGCACTTAGCACTGATAAGCCCTTGTACCAAGCCAAACTGATTCAGGATAACGCACTAAAGGCCAAAAAAGGCGTCGTTATTTGGACAAATTCGCATTGTTTCTCTGAGTGTGAAGATCTACAGGACCTGTTCATGTATAAAAAACATAGATAATTTGAAGCTGGAGAATAATCGTAAAATAATCGGCCTAGTATAAACTACCTACAAGGGAGGCATGTCTAAGCTTATTAACATCCATGCTGGACAATTGCCATCGCATTGACTCGCAGCTCAATAAAAGTATTGCATAAATAATTCCCTGCGAGCTTCAATTTAGAACTATGATTCCAATTCTATAAAAACACTGCGCTAAAAATACTAAAAATTATGACCGTCTTGAGAGGACTCTTGACTTGAACAGATTAGATAAAGCTATGGAAAAATCTATGTTCAGATTTGAAATGCCTAGCACCATATCGAATCCGGAGGAAGTCTGGACTGTGGATGAAAGTCATATTCAGTGATGAATCTCGAATCTGCATTGGGCAAGGTGATGATGCTGGAACTTTTGTTTGGTGCTGTTCCAATGAGATTTATAAAGATGACTGCCTTAAGAGAACATGCAAATTTCCACAGTCATTAATGATATGGGGCTGCATGTCAGGTAAAGGCACTGGGGAGATGGCTGTCATTACATCTTCAATAAGTGCACAAGTTTACGTTGATATTTTGGACACTTTTCTTATCCCATCAATTGAAAAGAGGTTTGGGGATGATGAAATCAATTTTCAATATGATAATGCATCTTGCCATAGAGCAAAAACTGTGAAAACATTCCTTGAAAAAAGACACATAAGGTCAATGTCATGGCCTGCAAGTAGTCCGGATCTTAATCCAATTGAAAATCTTTGGTTGAAGTTGAAGAAAATGGTCCATGACAAGGCTCCAACCTGCAAAGCTGATCTGGCACCAGCAATCAGAGAAAGTTGGAGGCAGATTGATGAAGAGTACTGTTTGTCACTCATTAAGTCCATGCCTCAGAGATTGCAAGCTGTTATAAAAGCCAGAGGTGGGGCAGCAAAATACTAGTGATGTGTTGGATCGTTCTTTTGTTTTTCATGATTCCATAATTTTTTCCTCAGAATTGAGTGATTCCATATTTTTTCCCTCTGCTTGGTCTAAAAAATAACCGTTACTGACTGCACAATTTTTTTTCTTGATTTCTTATAGTGTTTCTTAAAGCTACATTTGAAATTACTTTAGTTTTGTATCATGTCTGTGATCTGCTTTTTTTCTACTAAGTTAAACAACTGAATGAACATCCTCCGAGGCCGGTGATTCCATAATTTTTGCCAGGGGTTGTATATTGACGCCAGGGTTGTCAGATGACCTAAAAAAAGGCCAAGTCCGCAGACAAAAAAGACCAAAAATGCCTTCATTACTCAATATATACGTGTATATTTGTTGGTCCCGGCGTAAAAATCGCATTATACTTTTTTCACATTTTTCAAAATTCAATAACGAAGTACTCTTATCATAAATTCTTGTGGACAACGCAATAAAAAAAACTAAATACAGGAATTAGTTCTGAAAAAAGGTCACACCAAACTGCCAGGCATATGCCGGTCATTGTCACGTCGAATATTATTTAATGCATTTCTATATAATTATTCACACCAGCCATGCATTAAATCACCTGTTATGCCAGCGGTATGAATGCTTACAAGCAAATGCATTTAATAATATCCCCTAAATGAAAATTTATTTCTATAAAGATCGTAGCTTGGAATGAGTGACATAAATGGAATTTGTGCAATGCCAAATTTTGGATAGAAGAAAAAAAAGTTAATGGTGGGCATTCAATCGAAAAATTTAGTTTGAAACGCATGCGGGGAATGATTCGGGCCAAACAAATTATGTTTAGATAAAATTAACTCTTAATTAAATAGTGATGAATGACACCGCTGCATGCTGACATTGCTAGTGAGTAACGCCTCTGGACTTACGCCGTGTTGTGGGCGCTGGTATAACGCATACGACGTATAACGCATATAGCATATGATGCATATAACAGATGAGGCATATAAAGTAAGACGCGTATAACCTGTAACGCAAACGACGTATAACGCATATAACGTACAACGCATACAACGCATAACGCATATAACGTATAACGCATATACCGTATAACACATATAGCGTATGTTGCCCATAACACATGACGCATATAACGTACAACGCATATAACGTATACCACACGGCCTAATAGACAATGATGAAGTAAAACTGCAAACATGATCAAACTGTATTATACGCAACGCGAGGTAACCGCTTGGTTAGGATCACCAAGATCTGAGAGGCGAGTTTCGGGTTCGGAAGCCAAAACTCTTTGTGAAAATTCTTTTCGAAATCCGCTGAGCGGCAACGAATTGGGACTGACCAAATTTGGCCAAAAAAGCACACTATCAACCCGTGTAAACAAACAATCACTCAATCTCATCAACGCACTATCATTAATCATAACAAACAGCAATGCTTCAATCAGTAATCAATCATTTACAAACAGCAACTAACGCTTCTGACCCATTTATCTATTCCATTCCTCCATATTCTCCTCCTATTCCCATAATTCTATCCTCCATAATCTTCCTCTATCCTCCTACTTCTATAATCCTACTTCTATCCTCCTACTTATATCCTCCTACTTATATCCTCCTACTTCTATCCTCCTACTTCTATCCTCCGACCTTTATCCTTCTACTTCTATCCTCCTACTTCTATCCTCCTACTCCTAGGTGATGCATAGGGAGAAGTGGAGTAGTAGCACCTCCTATCCTTCTAGAGGCGCTGCAGGAGGGAGAGGTGCTGCAGGAGGGAGAGGTGCTGCAGGAGGGAGAGGTGCTGCAGGAGGGAGAGGTGCTGCAGGAGGGAGAGGTGCTGCAGGTGCAGCGGCGGCGCCACCTCAGTGCCGCCGCGGCCGTCGTTGTGGTAGATTGTGCGTCGCTGGCTCCACCTATCATGTCTTGTGAATTCTACCTACCGAAGTTCGTATTGGTTTCCCCGATAAAGATCGTCAGACTCAAATCCACGAGACTGTTACTTGTTACTAGCACGACTGATCTTTTAAACCTTACCATCCCGGCCGTTACCTAGAAACTCCCCTAGTAACGTTTAGAATTCACTAGATGATAGCAACAGAAACACTAGGAGCTTTACAAACGCAGTAGTGCGGGCTGGCCTAACTCTCGGTCACTGAAATGAGTGAGACTTAGTCTATACAGCGATGCTCTTGTGTGGGTCATCCTGACCTAGTTTTAAACGAGCGTATCTGTGCCAGAAACAAGTAAAAAGTTTGTTAATATTTGGACTACTCTACTCATTCATTCGTCTGAGTGTGTGGTAGTCAGGTTTATTAGCAGCGTCCGTACCGCGCGGTGCCTAATCAACATCGGCGTCAACTTTTCGCGTTGGGCCGTAAAGTTGGCAGCGAGTGGACGGTGCTTGCGTATGGCCAAGCAATCGATGGCGTGACACGC